CAGCTTTATCTAGTTGGAGATATCCCTGCTTGTGGTGAGGGGTTTGGACTAGACGACCTCTGGAGTTCCCTTCCAACCCAAACATCCTATGATTCTGTGATCTGCTCAGCATCCTGCCCTCTCCCAGCAGTTCTCCTCCCGAGGGGGTCGTGGGCAGGAGGCCCTTTCCTGCTCGAGCTGCCCTGGCACAAACACCAGGAGGGTCTCTGCTGGCGCCACTCACCGCCTTGTACTCCATCAGCTCCATCTGCAGGCGGGCGATCTCGGCCCGCAGGGCGCTGATCTGCTGGCTCGTCTTGTCCTGGTTCACCACCACCTTGTTCTTGATGTTGCGGGCCCGGTTGGCGTACTTGAGGGTGTTCAGGGTCTCCATGAAGTCCCGGTCGGACGGACTCACGCAGGCGATCATGATGGTTTGGCTTGGGGAGGGGAAGGTGGAGGTGAAAGGACAGATTCCCCCACCCTGCACCTTGGAAATCTGGGACCCAGCAGAGGCCACGTGCCCCAGAGCCCCATCCCAGCCCTTTGGTGTTTTAGCACCGAGGTACAGAGTGGGTTCAATCCCACCAGCAAGACCCCACGAGCAGCACGTCACAGCGCTGAGCAAAGCCAACCTCCACTCACACCAAGACTGCTGGGAAAGAATGGGCTCTTTGGAGAAATGTCCCCAAAAGAGGCAGGGAATTCCATCCAGCCCCTGCTGGGCAGCACCAGCTGCCCCATCCCAGCCCTGCAAGGGCTCCGGGGTGCTCTGCACCAGCTGATTGCCCTTGGGGCTCAGGAGGAGCCAAGGTCTTCCCAGACTGCCTGCCAGCAGGCATCCCCTCCCCACCACGCAGTCCTCCTCCCCCAGGGCTCCACAGGCCATGTCTGCAGGGGAACAGCCCCTCCAGTCCTCCCCCAGGGCTCCACAGGCCATGTCTGCAGGGGAACAGCCCCTCCAGTCCTCCCCCAGGGCTCCACAGGCCATGTCTGCAGGGGAACAGCCCCTCCAGTCCTCCCCCAGGGCTCCACAGGCCATGTCTGCAGGGGAACAGCCCCTCCAGTCCTCCCCCAGGGCTCCACAGGCCATGTCTGCAGGGGAACAGCCCCTCCAGTCCTCCCCCAGGGCTCCACAGGCCATGTCTGCAGGGGAACAACCCCTCCAGTCGTCTCCCAGGGCTCCACGGGCCATGTCTGCAGGGGAACAACCCCTCCAGTCCTCCCCCAGGGCTCCACAGGCCATGTCTGCAGGGGAACAGCCCCTCCAGTCCTCTCCCAGGGCTCAGCCCCAGCCTGGGACCCCCTTACCTGTTGCCCCCAAGGGAATCCTGCAGCAGGCGAGTGAGCTTGGAGTCCCGGTAGGGCACGTGTACAACTTTCTTGCTCTGGTCTCCGAGAGCACTGATGACATTCCCCAAGGCCAGCTACCAACACAAAGGAAAGCCCCCCACCCCAATTCAGCCCCCGCTGAGAGTTCAGTGGTCCCTTAGCCAGCACCTCAGGCCTGGGAGGTGTGCTGGAGCACAGGTTTGGGAGCAAGAGCTGGAGGCATGGGGCTTCCCTCACCCCCTTCCCTGTGCTGTGCCTCTCTCCCGCACGCACTGAGCAGCAGCACTGAGCCCTGGCAGTTTATCTAAGCCCAAATTCCAGACCTCAACCCCTGGAGGACTTGCACCCTCATGCCCAGCTGTCCCCCTCCCCACAGTCCTGCCCTCAGCAGCAAAGCTGTGCCCCCACCACGGCTGGTTTGGATTGCGCACGGTCCTGCCTAGGGGGGCAGGGGGTGTAAACTCCAGCAGAGAAAGCAGCAACCCCAACAGCCCAGAGGAGCTGCAGGGGTGTCCCAGGCTCCCCCAGGCAGCCCTGGCTGCACCCCCCCGTGCAGGGCAGGCGGGTGCCAGGGCTCACCAGCCCACAGTTGATGGAGATGCCCTCCTTGGCCCTCTCGCCGGTGGCTCCCGTGCGCTTCAGCCGCTCCGAGCCAGCCAGGTCTACGAAGTGGAACTTGGCCGTGAGGGTTTCGTACTCAGTGGTGGGCTGGGCTCCATCCAGGAGGTTGGTCACCTCCCCATTCACCTGTGGCTGGGCACAGACAGAGACAGTCAGCACCACGGAGCCAGAACAGGCAGCCTGAGCACCCACCCTTCACGTCCAGCCCCTCGAGGGTGGGAGAGGAGGATCATAGAATCACAGAATGTCTGGGCTGGAAGGGACCTCCAGAGGTCATCTAGTCCAACCCCCCCACCACAAGCAGGGACATCTCCAACTAGATCAAGCTACTCAGAGCCTCATCCAGCCTGACCCTGAATGTCCCCAGGGATGGGGCCTCCACCACCTCTCTGGGCAGCCTGTTCCAGGGATCTGTCACCCTCAGACTGAAGAACTTTTTCCTGACATCTAACCTAAATCTGCCCTTTTCTAGCTCAGAGCCATGACCCCTCATCCTGTCCCTCCAAACCCCTGTGAACAGTCCCTCCCCTGCTCTCCTGCAGGCCCCTCTCAGGTACTGGAAGGTCACTCTAAGGTCCCCCCAGAGCCTCCTCTTCTCCAGGCTGAACAGCCCCAACTCCCTCAGCCTGTGCTCCCAGCAGAGCTGCTCCAGCCCTCGCAGCATTTCTGTGTCTCCTCTGGACATTCCAACAGCTCCACGTCCTTCTTGTAGGATCCCAACAGCAGCTTGCTCTGGGCCATCCCTTGGGCCAGACCACCCCCAGGGGCTGCTCCAGGGCATCCAGTGCTAATGCTGGCTACCAAGACAAACCCCTGCCTCTCTTTAGAGGACTTCCAACGCTCTCCCCTTCCCCAGAGACCCCCACAACCCGGGTATCAGACCCAGGCAGAGCCCAGCCACGAGGCAGGGGCACATCTCACCAGCTCTGGGCGGGCACACACTCTCATCTGGCAGAGGTGGATGGTGAAGATGGCATGGGAGCGGGAGCTCTGCACGTTCATCTGGGTGCTGGCGGTGGTGCGGGACAGGGCACCCTGCTTCAGGCACTGGATCAGCTACAACCACACGGGCAGGGCACAGTCAAACCTCGAGGCAGCCTTCTGGGGACCAGGCCAGCACCCTG